CCCCCCCCCCCCCCCTCTCTCTCTCTCTCTCTGTGCTACTCGAGCTCCCGAGCTCAAGGGGGTAACGCACATGTGCATATCAGCCTGTTGGCCCAATGTTACACTGCAGCAAAGCGAGCTCAAAAATGCACACAGGTTGTATTCGTACCGAAGTCCAAAGAAAGCATGACGAGGAATGTAAGTTGTCAAAAGACGACTGACACAGAAGTCAATTTCATTCCAAGAACCGAAAAAAAACGTTTTTGATCCAAAAGTCCCAACAACAACAACCTGTAGAGCGTTGCATCGATTCCGGTGAAAGTCATCCTTCTTCTCGACATCACTAACATCGTAGTCTGTCTCGATGTCTTTCTCCGAAACCGATGTCCCAACAAACTATTTTAACTCAAGGAAGTAATGTGAATGAAAAAGGCGCAGCGCGAATTAAATACGGTTAGGACTAAAATGGCGAGAAACTGTATTTGTCGAAGGCAACACTCTACCTCTAGAAGTCTTCCTGAAAGTCGGCCGGTTCAAATAATTTTTCGCCAAACTCACCGGGAGTATGTAGTTTTAGCACTTTCACGCCTTTATAACAGAATATCAAAAAACAAAATTCGGGAAAGAGACATTTGTAGGACTACAAATCTCAACTTTAACTGAAGAAGTACTAACTATTTTTAGGATTCGGGGTCTTGTCTATTTTTCAGATTCGGCAAAAAATATTTATAGGACTATAAATCTTAACTTCAACCGACAAAGTCCTGATTATTTTTCGGACTCTGGGAAGAAATATTTATAGGACTTTAAATCTCAACATGGACTGACGAAGTCTCGTCTATTTCTTGGATTCTGGCAAGAGATATTTATAGGTCTATAAATCGAAACTTCAACCGATAAAGTCCTTTTAATTTTTCAAGCTCTGGGAATATACATTTATAGGACTATAAATCTTAACATGAACTGAAGAAGTCTTGTCTATTTTTCGGATTCGGGTAAGAGATATTTATAGGACTATAAATCTTAACTTCAACCGACAAAGTCCGGATTATTTTTTGGACTCAAAGAAGAGACATTTATAAGACTATAAATCTTAACTTCAGCCGAAGAAGTCTTGGCTATTTTTCGGATTCGTGGTAGAGACATTTATAGGACTATAAATCTTAACTTCAACTAAAGAGGTCGTAATGTTTTCTGTCTTCAAACTTATAGGACTATAGGCGGTTTTAACACAACTTTAAAGTCAGGCTCGACTAACAACGAATTTAAAGAAGAGTGAAACGAGCTTGTGTTCAGCCTTCGAAACTGGTTTTCTGAAAAAAAATGTATTTTTAGAACTAAAAGTCTACCCTGACATGCTGTTGAGAGCCGCACCTCGTTTTAGGCCCGCGGTAGATCGTGTACCGGTCGGCAAAAAATGCACTTTTGCAAAAATGCAATTATAGGATTATAAATGGGAACTATTGACCTACGCGAGAGCTCCATAGTTGACCCTTTCTAGAGCAGGCATCTAATGCTTGCAAAAAATATGAGATTTTTATGCCCTCAAGATTGTGCACAACACCTGCTTGGGATTTGCAGTCGAAAAATATTACTTTTTTGTCGCTTTTTCCAGTGTTCCTCCTAAACTTTTTTTTCTCCACGTTTGTACCAGTCATTTCACTGCCCCCGAAATTGGGTTTCTTAGAGAGGCCCAAAAATCAGCAGTTGGAAAACTTCAAAAACTTTTGCAAACCTAACAATTTGTTTTGTTAGGTTTTCACGAATCCCCTGTTTTTATGGTTTTGTTAGGTTTTCATGAATTCAATGTTATACATGGATGATATACTTGTGTATTCGAGTTCCTACGAGGGACACGTGCAACACATTGAGTGGGTGTTGTACACACTGAAGGACGGTGGATTCAAGGTGGCACTCGAGAAGTGCCAGTTTTTCCTCACGGAGATTTCTTTTCGCGGCCACGTGGTTACGAACAAAGGGTTCCAAATGGAACCGCAGAAGGTAGCCGCGGTGAGAGACACGTTGGTGCCGACGTCAGTTATACAAGTACGCGCTTTTTTGGGACTAGCCTCATACCATCGGGGGTTTATCAAGGGATTTGCAGCAATGGCAGGACCACTTACGAACTTGCTGAAAAATGATCAGCTGTTGATTTGGACCCCACAGTGTAATCAGACCTTTCAACAACTTAAGGCGACTCTGATCTCGGCTCCGGTGCTTATAAGACCAGACCTGGAAAAACCTTTTGTTCTCATCATCGATTGGCAGCCCGAAGCGATCTCAACATTCTTGACCCAGATGGGACCTGATGGCCTGGAACACGTGGTGGAATATGCGTCTAAATCAGTACCTTTCTGCATGAGGAATTACTGCGCTCTAACGGGGGAATGCTACGCGGCCTTGTGGGGAATCAGTCACTTCGGGGCTTACTTATATGGTCGGAAGTTCACATTGGTAACTTATCATGAACCACTGTTGCCCCTGAAGAAGCCCAAGGACTACTCGGGTATGATCGGGCGATGGGCTACCACGTTGCAGACCATGGGCTTTGACATTCGTTATCGAAAACACGAGAAACACGACAACGAGGACGGGCTGACACGGCTGCATCGACCGAGCAAGGTACCCAAGAGTGAGGAAGTGACACTGTGGCATGATCCGGAGCTAAAGAATGAGCCCCAGTACGGTGAGGTGGAGATCCTTCTGAAGGATTAAGTGGACACGAGCCCCCTCTCTCTCTCCCTCCCCCCCTCTCTCTCACTCTCTCTTCCTTCCCCAAACCATGATGACCCCTCCTTCTGCTCCCAACCCCATCGATTCCCCTCCTTCGCATTTGGAATTTTTCGCCGATCTTCCGGACAAGTTCGGTTATTTTTGCACGTGTATTTCACGGGTCTATGGGGTAGACTGCTACACTGGGTAGAGTGTGTCACGCGTGTCAATCGTGCGCATGGCACCTGCGTTCGATATCGAACAAGTAGCAAAGCATGGAAGTGTCCCTTGTGTCGGACGGACAAACTCCCCATGAAAGCTCGATTCGAGGACGCTGGAACTGACGACCCCGAACACGACGAAAAATACCGAAAGGCTGAAGTATGGATGGATAAAATATTACTGGCTAAATCAGCGGGCCAACCATTGGACCATCTCACTAAGAAGGATAGGCTCCGGGCCACCGAGAGGTCTCGAGATTCTCGATGGATCAACGGTCATTTGGAAAAACACAAAACAGACGGATCGGAATTATGGTTGACGGTTCCACACCCGTTTCAGCGATATAACTGGACCAAATCTGCGCACGAGGAGCAGGCCTCTCATTTCACGATACGTGTCACTGAAGCGACCATCGACTAGAATCAATGGTTCTGGTGTAATATTTGCAACGACGTGAGACACGTGGTTGCTAACTGTCTAGTCTACGCTGCCGATCATGCACCCCTTCGTAGGCCTAACACGATAGTCCCGACAGAGGTAGAATGCCCTTTCCAGCGAGTCAGTATGAACACGACAGACATTGATGTGCCACCTAGGCTCGACTGTTGTGAGTATTCCATTCTTTTGATATTGATCGACCATTTCTCGAAGTACATCGAAGTCTACCCATGTAAGACACGTATATTTACGTACATCGACCGATTCCTCAATACCCATCTAGATACGAAAAAGATTCTGACTGACAATGGGTTTGAATTCAAAGCAGAAGTAGAGGAAATATTAATGCGTCGTGGCGTTACTTTCCGCCACACTGCTTAGTGCTCCCCATGTTTCCCAGTCCAACGGACTGGCCAAAAAAACGAACTGCATGATTAAGACCACTCTCCGCAGGAACTTAGAGGCCAATGACACGCGTCCTTGGCCCGAGATAGCATATCAAATCATCGAGATTCATCGGGCGACCCCCTATGAATCCACTGGATTCACCCCCTTTCAGCTACGAACGAATAGTATCCCATGCGTCAACAATCAGAGTGTCTCAGAAAGTGCCGAGAACGGGGGAAAAGACACGCGGTCGGCCCTCAAGGCCAAGGCTAAATGGTACACGAAGCTTATGGAAAGGGCTATCCCCAGGCTAGCCTGAAAAAGACAGAAAATGACCAAACTGGCCCATGGTAGGTAGGTCCGCAGTTATGAGGCCCGGAATGGGAATGCAGGCCCACAACACCAGGGGACCTAGTGCAGGTACATAAATGTGCACGCGATCGAAAACTCGCTCCTAAGTTTTTTGGCTGCTTTCTCGTAGTGAACTCGGACCTAATGGAGCCCATACTATGCGTATCGCCCCTGAGACCAGTGCCAGCCATAACTCTCTCCCCATCGTCCGCCATACCTCATACCTTCGTTCCCTCCCACCTTCAGAGGACCCTATCTCGCCTTCGCCATCTTTCTCTAGCGCAGACGAAGATCCTGCCTCCCCTTCTTCATCTGGTACCACCTCTCCTCAATCTTCGCCATGAGTTTCGTCATCGAGCCAGCTCTTCCCCCACAGCTTCTTCAGCCTCGACCTTCGTTGCAGTTTCGCCAAGTCGCGCATCCTCGTCTCAGTCCCGATCTCCTTCGGTTCACGTAGTTGTTTAGTCATGGGGCTTGGTGTGCGGCGGTGGAAGTGACAATTTCAATTGAGCGGGGAGCGACCGTCATCCAGGTGGAAGGCTCGACGTTCGATCGATTCTCCTTGCCTAACCAGAGCGACGTGACAGTGATCCTCACCTTCAGTGGCGATCTGTGCACCATCCACTTGCAACAATGAAATGCAGTGATCGCCAGCCTTTACGAGTGGGGACAGGAGTGGGTAGCGGATTGGCGGCAGCGGTTAGCCCGGCCGGGTCGGCAAATTGTGGGCACCGAGTGTATTGATACCTTCTCTCTTCGAACCAGTAGCACTGAACCCATTGCCCGTCCCCTTCCCCCTCTTCGTCCTTACCCATTGCGCCAATGAATCACTTCTCGACCTTCTCCCTCCCTTAAGATCTTCCAACTCTCTGGCCATTTTGGGTCGATCCTCTCTTAACTTTGGAGATTCGCCCCGCCACGATCCCTCCCTTCCATCCTCACGACCTTCACAAATGGACTGAATTTGTGTCGGTTAGTGTATGCATGCTAACAGTGAAGTGTCACCGAGCTCGGTATTACAACAATCGGGAATTGGAGATCTACAACGAGATCTCGCTGGTACTAACTCAGGCGTGGCCTACAGACACAAAGATGGATGGCACTTTGTTTGGACTTCTTTGCAGAGAGATCACGGAAGGAGGTAGAGCGACTGTCGCCTACGAGCTCCTCACCTTTATGTCCCAGCTCGTCGACGACCTGCCAGCAAGTATCATCTCCTTCTATCCCAACGACCCCAGCCAAGCCGAACCCGTCACTTTGGAGAGGACGCTGACGCCAACCACAATCTGGGCGAACTATACGGAAGACTGCGGGCAATACCAGAGCGATCATGACCCCTCGGTATGGCGCTATTTGGACTTGGACGATCTTGCGCCGGACAATTTCGATCAGGACGAGTTTTGGAACGCCCATTGGACATACGGCGAAGTACCATCTGACGACGATCCTGGTCGTATAACCATTGCAGGTCTGTCAGTTGAAAAAGAATCGGAAGCCGGGTCGACGTCAAAGGAAGAGGCGGATGCCCCGTCGGCACAAGTACCACCCGCTGAGCGAGGAGAATCTGCTCTCAATCCCGAAGTCTCTCCCGACACCGCCAGTCGACACGATGGCGCAGAATCTTCCCGCCGCCGCTGCCACTCTCGCTCACCATGTCCCACTTCCACCGCCCCCTCCGCACTTCGTCCCCGTGCTCTTCCCCGCACAAGCACTCCGCCCTCGTCCGATTTACCGCCGCCCTCTTGATTACCTCTCCTTCTCTCCTCTTCCCCACATTGAGTTCCCTCTAACCATCCACATTTTCGCCAACCAGCTTTTCTGTCACCACTTTGTTGTGTGACTCTTATGCACGATCTTCCCTCACCGCTCCCCATCATTTCCCCTCAACATCCTTGTCTTCAGTGTCGCCTGGAGACAGTATAACCATATGGAGTTGTACTTTATCATCTCCGGAACCTTTCCCCCAGTAGAGGACGATGAGTCCCTACGTGATAATATCCTCCACACTATCCCTACCCTCTATTCCGACTACCTCCTTTCCCTCTCACGACCCAACCATCGATTCCCGCGAGCGCATAGAATCGTCCACTTTGTCGATCTCGAGGACGAAGATTCCGATTATTTCCCTTTGCTTCCTGCGGAAAGGCCTAGACCCCTCCACAACCCTCTTCGCGTTAACTACTGGTGATCGGACTTCCAGTAGCCACGCGGATCTGCGAGCTATGATGTTGCCATCGGGATGACATGTGTCGACCTGGAGGAAGCAGGGCATGGCGCACAACAGAGCCGGGTGGCAGGGATCTTTGAAACCTGGAGTTGACCAAGTTGTGAAGATAATGCAATTGAAGTTGGCGTCAACATGACTCCTGGCTTGATCTAGTGATTGTGATACGCTGGTTTCCTCATTCATTTCCTCAACATCTCCGATCTCCTACGCCATAACTCTCCTCCATGCAATCAGGAGATCACATAGTTTTGAAACCCCCTGAGCGTCATATATGTGACGCGGTAGTTCCCGAACCAGCGCCATCTTTCGTTCCCCTTCCCCCCCCCCCCCCCTTTTTTTTCTTTTTTTTGTCGAATTTTGGGTGACCATCCGACGAGGCCTCTTTTTGTATTTTCGTAAATGTAATATGTGGGACACTCAGATCAATTTTTGAAAATTTGTCTTTTGCAAATTCGGGAATTACATGGGAATTACGCGCGCCTTAGCGAGCGCGCTAGGAATTTGGGTTGACGGTTAGGAATTTCGGAATAAGCGGAATCTAACGTGTTATTTCTTACACTTGAATGTTCTCAACGTCGTCTAGGAATGCTTTAGGAACGTTCGTAGTAATCTGAATAGGTATATGATTTTTTCTCTCGTGCCTACTACCGCGCGGATATGGTACTTTTTAATTTGAAATAACTATAATTGTTTTGGTGCCCTTTTTGCTTCCGCGTCGGCGCCATGCATGTGAGCCTCCCCTTTCCGCTTCCCGTGCTGCTTTCGACACTCTCCTCTTCGCGCTCACGCTCCTCTCTCTGTAACCATTTTCCATCTCTCTTTCAACCTTGCCCGCCTTTTTTCTCCTTCTTGATCGACTGAATCTTGGTTTCGTTTCACGCTATTCTTTCCGCCCTGATCCCCATTCCGAAATACTCTGTCGACCCCCTTTCGCTTCCCCTAGCTAAGGAGACGTGTCGTGTAAGAAGGAAATTCCTGATACACGACGATTCTAATTGGCTGCAGCTGGGATCCAAAGGATCGACATGACTTTCGTCGGGTAATCCCTGAGCCTTTCCCTACTCCTTCCTGCCTCTGTCCTAACCCTTCCTAGCGTCTATCTTCTTTTCCGCAGCTATAAATTCCGCAAGCACTCTCGAAAATCCCTCTCGTGACTCATTAGCCCGCTTCCAGGAAGTCGTGGCTAGATGGTAGGACGGAAGATGCGAGTCGAAAAGTGTGGACGAGCTGGCTGTAGTCTGACGCTCGCTATGCAGGATCGCCCGACAGACTGTGGGATCCGAGTAGGGTCGTGCCGAGGCTAAGTCGGTGGGGTAACGATCGCTTATTTGGCATGTCACGACCAGGATTGTTAGTGCAAGTGAGATGCTCAAGGTTCGAGTCAGAAGTGAGTGAGTGTATGGCCTGGGGCTATGGTGGAATTTTATGGTGAAAGTGTTTCCTTTTTTTGTTGTCCCTAAATTTGTATCTTCAAGTGTGAATTCTGATCGCTCGACTTTTAAGCCGGAACTTCCCTGGACAAGATTAGCTGATATTTTGTGATTGCTTTCCACTCGTTCTTCCCTCCTTGTCTGCGTCCATACTCTCTCTCTCTCTCTCTCTCTCTCTCTCTCTCTCTCTCTCTCTCTCTCTCTCTCTCTCTCTCTCTCC